TCTCTCTCTCTCTCTCTCTCTCTCTCTCTCTCTCTCTCTCTCTCTCTGTTAAGGAAGCAAGAATTTCTCTGTGTGGATCCAGTGCTGTTATTTCTAGTTTCAGAAAAAACAGTAAGGAATTTGGCAATAATTTATGTTAAAACAACAACAAATTACCTTTTAAAAATAGATTACCCACACCTATAGGAAGAATCTCAAGAAGGCACACAATTAATAAAAGCTGGCTCTGAGTTACCCATACCAATATGCACTAATGTCCAGTAAACAACTGATTGTGCTCACTATTTTTCTTTCCCAGAAACAGCAACTAAGAAGGTGTTTTTTTTTTTAAAATCAACAATATAAAATCTCATTAACATATTTTACAATTGGAGACCTGCAGAATTTTGCTTCCTTTTGCTATTGAAAAGTCACAATAGCCAAGTGGAGTAATGTATGTTCTTCTAAATTAACACATGTTGCTGTGGTTAAGGGTGGAGTGAGGGTGCAGAGAAAGAAGTTGGCAAGAAAAGGTTCAGGGCCTGTTGCAAAACCAACTGCAAGCCAAGTATGATTCCAGATAGACAAGAACCACCTGTTACAACAGAGGGAGAGGTTTCAAAGATGAAATGAGAAGGAGGTGACCTTAAAGATCATTTCCCCAATTATAATATAAACAGCTAAGGGAACATGCAGATATTTATATCGAACACATGTGAATACAATATTATCCACATGTTATTCAATATAAGAAGGCATATAATTACTTATGTATTTCTAATCAAGAAAAACTTCTGGAAGTAAATGGTTTATTATTGGTAATAGTAATCGCCAGCTGGACACCTAGTACCTCATATCTCATTTAATCCTCACAACAACCCTTTTATTTCAGAAGGTGTTTAATACATGAGGAAACGGATACAGAGAGAGTTAAGTTGCATGCCCAAAGTCACACACTTGATAAGGGATGGAGTCAGGATTCAACCATATCTGTCCAACTCCAAAGCCCGTGCTTTCAGCAATTCTGCTGTATTGTGCACTACATAAATATATGTCATAGCCTTTGGAAAATTTTGCTTTCTGGACTTGACCAAAAAAATTAGAAGGAACCTCCCAAACAGCTTAAAGTACACTAACAATTGTCAAGACCTCAATGACACATTAGTGTCCAGTTAGAAAAGACAGTAATTTAATGCCACGTGAAATGCTTAAGGAGAAATGAACAATGTTGCTTAGCCCTTGCAAAATCCGAAATCTGAGTGAACTCTGTCTCAAAAGGGAATATACAATGTTTCATTAGAACACACTTTAAACGTTCTCCTTAGTAACTATGTGACACATAGAAAGAGTTCCCTTTTTAACCCCTTTCAAATGGGGAAATATTCTGCTTTTATAAAATTAGGAGAGGCTTTACTTCTAAAGAAATTACAGAGGAAAAGAAAAAGTGGGCTACACAAAATAACTTGTGTTGACCTAAAGGTATTGGGATCACAATGCAGTGATCCTATAAAAGGTGTGCCCAGAATATCTATTTAAAATTCGAATGTCGGTACGCGAAAACTTCTTCTACGGTACGAATCTCAACAACCACTGATGTAATGGCTCATATGGGCTTTGTTCTTTATCTTATCTTCAATAAAAATTTTATGATTAAAGAGCGAATTAAGGCTAGTCGGCAATAGAAAAGACAAACTGTCAATGGAAGGAGGTAGGTATAGAATCAGGAACGTCAAGGAATATCGTCCGTCTCTTGGAATTTAGTTCTTTATGGGTCGATTTCTTCACTACTTAATTATACGTACGGGTCGAAAATTTTCAAACTAGAAGCTCTTACTGGAGAAAACGTAGGCATTGAAAAGCGCAGGTTTCTTTCTTACAATCGAATCAAGCGAGAAGTAGAGTCACTGGTGAGAAATTCGTCTTGGATCTGTGAGAATCCCTCTCCTCCCCAGCCCACGTGGCAAAAGTAAACAGAAGGTGGGCCCGGGGCGGGGTGAAGCAGGACTCGGTCAATTTCCTAATTTGTCGAGTCTTTAAAACTACAGGCCCCTAAAGCACTAAGGGCAGGCCCTCTGCGAAACTGGGGAGCGCTTTTGCAGAGCGAGATTAAAGCGACGGTGCAGAGGATGCCAGAGAGGGGGCTAGGCGGGAGCGGGTGCACCTTCCAGGGGGCGGGGGTGCGGGCCTTTGCGGGTGGAGGTGGGTGCGCGCGTGGGCGCGTGCGGAGATACCTGCAAGGCGGTGGGGAGTAAGGGCTAAGGTACGAGGCTGCGGGGCGGAGCTGGGTGCGCGCTGGGGTGAGGGGTGCGCACAGACCTCTAAGTGGGTGGTGGAGTGCGGTACTCAGAAAAAGTTTAAAAGGTTAATCCGAGGTCTCCATCCTTGTGCCAAGCACCCACGCCACCTCCCCCTGCGCGCCTGCCCCGCAACTTCACCCTGGTGGCTACCGCTCCGAAGGGTCACCGGGGCGCCCCGGTCTGGCTGCGGCGCCCGGGAAGGTGCGGGGGTGGGGAGGGAACCTTCCCCCGAGCTCGTTCCAGCCCCGCGCTCATCCCCGCGCACCGCTCCCCAGGCTCCACCGCACCGCGCCAGGGCCGCCCCGGCCTCGACCGCGCACCGCATTGTACGGCCCCCAGGTGCCGCCGCCGGCCTTTGTGCGGGAAGCCCCGGGCAGGGGGCTGATTCCCTGGGAGCCGCGGCGGAGAGCCCCAGGGCGGCGGCGGCGGCGGAGGCCGGGGCGGAGGAGGAGGAGGAGGAAGAGGAGGAGGAGGAGGCCGGCGGCGGAGGAGGAGGAGGAGAGCGGGGCGGAGGCGGAGGAGGAGGAGGAGGAGGCGGAGGAGGAGGCGGAGGGGAGCCGGCAGCAGCGGCTGCGGCCAGAGCTCGGGCGGCCGCCGCCGCCTCCTCGCGAGCGCCGCGCGCCCAGGCCCGGCTCGCATGCTAGTCACGTCCGCCCCCTCGGCGCGGCCGCCCCGAGACGCCGGCCCCGCCGAGTGATGAGAACACACGTCAAACTGCCTTATGAATATTGATGCGGAGGCTAGGCTGCTTTCGTAGAGAGGAGCAAAAGGAAGCAAGATGGCTGCCCTTTAGGATTTGTTAGAAAGGAGACCCGACTGCAACTGCTGGCTGGCTGCAAGGCTGCGGGACGAGAACGAGGTCAGAGCGCGTCTCTTAGGCCGCGGAACTCCCCCTTTCCTCCCCCCCTCGCTTTCTCTCGGGCTTCCAGGCACTGGGGAGCAGACCCTGCAGTGTCACCCGCAAATACCAGGAGGGAAGAGGGAAGCTTCACAAATTACTGGAGCCTCTTCAACATGGCTGACAAATATAGTTTTAATTCCGCCCCCCCCCCCCTTTAAACCTGTGGTTCTGTGCTCTCTTCTCTCCCCTGCTAACGCTCCTCTCCTCCTTACCCAGAAAACTTACCTTTGTGACTGCGACCAGCCGGCGCCCCGGCCTTTTATCTTCAGGAAAGTGATTTTTCTTGGCTTCCCTTTCTCAAATAGTTCAGCTTTGGGGGGCACTACTTTTCCCTGGAATCCTCCCCGACCCTCTCCCCTTCTTGTGAGTCAGGCCAGCCTCTCGTTTAACCTCACCCACCCCGGAAAAGAACTCTGACGGAGTGTTTTTCGGCCCTTTTATCTGCTGTGGGGTCTGGGTCTGGCTCTGCGTCCGCGTCAGCCCCTGGCTGCCCCCGTGTCCGCTTTTCGGGGGGCGAGCTGAGCGAGTGTCATGGGGAGTCGAACTGCAGCACACCAAGTGGGGTTTTGTTTTTTTTTTTCTGGAGTCCGCGCGTCTGGCTAGGGGCGCCGAGTGAGAGAGGAGAGCATAGTTTTCTCGGGTCCCCCAAACCAGACCAGATCCCACTTTTCTCCAGGTACATCAGCTCCGCGATGGGCTGTGCCTGCCAGCCTGGGGAGCGCGTGTAAGAGAATTTGTGGGCAAATCTGGGTCCTGGCTTTGTGCTTCTCCCGAATCAGCTTCGTTTGGTTCCCCGGTAAGTGACAGGCAGACACAAAGGCAGGCGCAGGCCGGGGGAGGGGGCGGGCGGGCGGGAGGAGGGGGGCAGAGTTGAGAGTTGGAAGACTGCAAGGTCAGGGGCGCCGAAAGAAATGAAACCCAATCCCAGCAAAGAAACGCACAAGTAGGGAGCAGATTTCTAACAGCCCCATCCAAATTTCTCTCTCTGTCTTGGCTGCTTTCTTTTCCTTGGTCTTTTATTAATCTGCCTCTGTGTCCGTCTTTTTTTTCCTCCTCCTTCTTCACTAACACACACACACACACACACACACACACACACACACACAACACTCACACACACTCTCCAGTCTTGCCGAATCTTTTCACTGGGGCTGCTTGTCCAGTGTTATGAAGCTAACAGAGTTTCTGTGGGGAGTTTTCTACCTATGACAAAATAAAGTGTGGCCTGGATAGACTCCTGAGAAGGTCGACTATGAAATATAAGTGTTATTTACTGATTATTGCCTTCATGACATACTTTTAATTGCATCGAGTAGTTCCCCCCACCCCCTTCATCTAGTGTTTAGGAATTGAACGGAGGGTTATTTTCGAGTTGTTTGCTTAAGATTTACTGAAAAAAAAATTTTAAAAATATTTTCCTGTGTAAGGATACATCCATGAATTTGAAATCTCAAGTCTTGCATTGTGCTTTCTCCTCTCTAATAAGGGATAATACTGGCAAATCCAAATAAAAGTATTCTTCAACAATGATCCAACATAAGAGTAAGATTGTTCCTTAGGGGAAAGTGGGATGTAAGGAGAAAAGATATAGGTCTGGTTTGCTTTGCTTTGCTTTGCTTTGGGTTTAAGACTGTGGGTATTGTTGCCTGGTTAATGAAATCATTATATTTGCATTTTAATGGAAATTCGAAATACTGGAGGAGGGTTATATCCTTTTACATGTTTGCATGTGTGTTTTATAATAGGTTTGAGGTAGAATATAAATTTCAACACAATAAATATTGGGTGTTTTTTTTTTTTTATATTAAGCAGAGAAGTGTTAGTGAAGGATTGGAAAGTCAAACTTAAGTTTGGAAGGCATGTATTTGATTAAAAATGGACAGAATAAAGAGCACAATAATGGACATTACTCCATAAATCAGACTTCTGAAATCATTTGTCCTCTGTAGTTCACTCTGTAACACTTTCTATTTTGATCTCTGAAAAAGCAGTTAAGTTCACTTTAATCATTGATACTGGAGATTATTTCACATGATTACAAGGGAGTAGTATTACTGATCTCTGGAACAGAAACAGCTCCTTTGGTTAGTTCTTATTTGTCCTAAAATTATAAAGGAAATACTGACGAGTTTAGCATAAATGCTTACTATTTCTTGAGAAAACTATGATTAATTATTCCAGCAATCGGAATTTAAACAGTTCTTTTTGCTGACAGACTAATATCTAAATGCTTTTGGGGGACTTTTCAAATGTTGTGGTATATGCTCTCTTCAAGTTATTTAACTGATAAGAGATGTAATATTTTCATTCATATTGGCAAATAAGAATAGTACAATAATTTTATTGTGACCATGAAGATTTGTTCCTTCCTATTATCAAATTTAGACTTTTTTGTTATTTTATGTGTCCTATTTGTATCCTGAAAATAGCTGTTAATTTAATATTGTATGAAGGGCTTAAATGATTGTAAGGAAGAGATGTACATATATTCACCAATCTGAATATAAGTACCACTTTCACATTTATTATAAAAGAGCAGTTATTTGAATCCGTATAGGATAGTTTACTGTAAAAGACATCATGTCTGTTCTTCATTTGCCATATGTGTGATAGTACCACCTGGATGTTTCCAGAATTTCATAGATAGAACTGTCTTGAGCAATTGCAATTATGGGAGTGATAGTGAACAATTACAAGATAGATCTTTTTCTTAAACTGCAATATTGTTTTGTTTATTTTCTTACTGAACTAATGGTTAATGAGACATTAACTTGGAAAGAAGGGAGTCCCTTGTTTTGTTTAAATTCACACATTTACCAACTATGGCCTTAATTATATCTGGCATCGTGCCGGTCCATGACAGAAGTCAAAGGGGTTGGTATGATCTTGATGCAGTGGCACATGAACATAGACATGGACGAGTCAACATTACTTCCAGAAATGCACCTGCCAAGGAGTTATTATGACAGACTTCCAAAGTCCTGTTTGGGCATTGGACTTGTATTAGGTAACAAAACCTGAAGCTAATGTTTTGGTTTCACTTGCTGAAGTTCTAATTTCTCTATCAATTCCTCCAAGGCTCCACCCACACACAATGTTGTAAGCCAAATGTCACTATTAAAATGTGTTTCCTTATTTGCTGATCTCAGTAAGACACCTTTCCTATAATTCTCGGACTCAGGTTTTTAGGAGAAACCTGATTTTACATTATGTCCCAGATCCAAGTTAGTAAATTCCTATGAATTCTTTGAAATTATCTTGAAATAAAGTGTCTTCAAAAGGACGTTAGAATGTCTAATACTTAGAAATATGAAACCTGGTTTTTTTATGTTCTAATTCCTTCTTCTGTGAGTTCGGTTGTTGCCCACTAGAATTTAATAGTCTTACCTAGCCATCTCAAAGTGCTAGAGGGAGACTTCTTTGTTTTATAAACAACCATATAGACAGGGTAAAATTTGGAGCGGCTGTCAGTGTTGGTTCATCAAAGTAACATTTTCCTCAACTATTATGCCACCATTGCACAGTAGTTCTTTAAGCGAGGTAATGGCACCAAAGCCAGTAGCAGGAAACTCTCATACAAGCCAACTTTACAATTGGAGTCTTAACTGTGGGAGAATTGAGTTGCCAAGTAGAGCTGGTGGTTATCTTGGAAATTGTGCTGAAGAACACAACCACAAATGATTTTGTCAAATATACAGTATTTACTTGGTCTAGATCTCCAATTTCTATTTTGACTCCCTGCCAAAACTCAGGGAATACTGTGGCATTATTCAAGGAGAGTATATAGTACATCTGTACACCTTGGTGTATAATTCACTATATATATATGTGTATGTATGTATGTGTATATATATATATAGTACACTATACATATATGTGTATATATATATATATACACACGTATGTATATATATACATACACACACACACATATATACAGTAGGAAAGAAGAGTTCCACAAGAGGACAGGGTAAATGAGAGCCCTTGAATCATTGTGACTGCAAGCCAAAAAGAGTCTTAAGTATCTGCTGTTTCCAACATTATTCTGATCCTAGATTGTATATTGTAGAAAATCTCTGACTTAAGATAGATATATAATCTTTCCACAATAAAAAAAAAAAAGATTTTGGTTGCCCATTCCAAAATAGTAAAATTCTATCAGCTTTGATTTATGCTTTTTCCACTTGTCATGAAATGCAGTTAAATGTGCCAGGCTTCAAAAAGTAGAAATAGATACTAGGTGGATTTTCAATATTTTGTGTAAAACATATTCAGTGATAATGTCAACCTACCTGCAGTTTTAAGAATTTGGAACTCAATATTTTGTATTTACTCAGGGTTGTTACTCAAACTGACTTGAAATCAAGCTCCAAATAATCTGAGAATTAAATTAAGATATGAATATATTGAGATGCAGTGTTCTTGGAGGACAGGTTAGGACGTAAAATGAACTGGTTGCTTCGCTAACATTGCTGTAAATATTTATTTTAAATTACATTTATGTCTCTTGGAAGAGAGGCACTGATTTCTGTGTCTGTTTATTCCATAATTGAACGTAGTGGTGTTCTACTCAGTCAAGATGTAATGAAGGGAGGACAGCTTCCATTTATAAGATGAGTACATTCTGGAATGTAATGGATAGCACAGTGACTATCATTAGCCATATTTCAAAATATATTTCAATGTATTTCAGTATTTGAAAATATGTAACGATATTTCAAAATATATTTAAAAGTTGCTAAAAGAGTATATCAAAAATTGTAAGTATGTGACGTGATGGGTGTGTTAATTAACCTTTTGTGGTAATCATTTTCAATATATACATAGATCATTACATTGTACACCTTAAACTTACATATTATGTATCAATTGTATCTTAAAAGCCGAGGAAAAAGTCCCGAATGGCCTAAAACAGGAATAATGTCATTTAATTACAAAATGTATAATCTGTTCTCACT